CTAAAAAAAGCGAAGCGAACGAGTAATTAGTATGATTAAAGAAAATGATAAGAAAAATTAAATCTTTTTTCTTTCATTCATTTCCTTTTATCCTTCTGTTTTTTTAAAATTTAAATCGCTTATATTTCAAATTTTATTTACCTTTTTTTTATGCATTTATATCGATATTGGTATTTAGTTCATTGCATTGATTTTTATTTATTTCTGCTGTCGTTTCTTTGTATTTTTTTGTCAATATATATATTTTATTGAATGTTAAACAGGGAAGGATGAAAAAAGGCAAAAAAGATGAAAGGAATGGAAAAGATAGATTAAAGAAAAAAGATCTGATAATCTGAAATATTAATAAATCTCGTTTATCCATCTTATTTTATTTTCTGTTGTCTGATCCGTTTTTTTTTTCTCTTTTTCCGTCAATTCTTTTTGCTTTTAACATTTATACCGTTATTATGTGTTACATATTGAGAATTTTTAGGATTATTTTTATTTTTTATTTTATATTATTTATACGAAATTAAATACATAGCGAATAATAATTTCGTTTTGTTTTATTTTGTTTTTCAATTTCGAAAATTTCAAATTTCTTTGAATTGTACATAAATGAATAAATTTTAGTGCAATTTATTAAATTTTATTAGTGACACCTACCAGAATACACTCTATAATAAACGATTAATTATTGTTGGTAATAGCTATCAACATATATGTATATTTCATATTTAAAAATTAATTATTGTAACAAATTTTTGCTCATAAAGAGTAATTCATTTTAATTTTTTCTTTGATAATTTCACCCAAAATAACATTTCATGATGTAATTAATTTAACTTTTCTTTTATTGCGTGTACAAAGAAAAAAAAATACGATAATTTTGTTTTATTTCAACTATCCAATATTTATTCTGTTAATTTTTCAATCATTTTTTTTAGATAAAACAAAAATAAAATAAAAGCGAAAAATAAAAAATAAAAAATAAAACTAAGTTCAATAAGGAAGAAAATATATCGAATATGCCACGACGTCGCGGTGCATATACGCTTACTAAATCGACATCATTCACTGTTTTTCCAATTACTAATTCCTCTGATAAGGTATTTTATTCGGCCAATAATACTGACCAAGGAACATATAAGGCTAAAACATGCCTAAATGTAACAATAGCACCTGACAATTGCGCTACTTTCATCAATGATACAAACAAAGAGGAGCAGCAAACATCGTTATCATCTGTTAAACAATCATATCAAATGCAACAAACAAATAAAACCAGAAATGGTTACCGTCGAGAATTATTTCAACTTTTTGAAGAAAAAACCCGAAATGGTTATCACGAATTTTTCCGAGATTTTTCCAACAATAATTTCATACCTGAGGAACATAATAAGCATGCCAGGAATAGACGTCAGTACCGTACAATCAGCCATGATTCTTCATTTCGAAATTCTTTAAAGTATTCATTTGAAAAGATGAAATTACGTGCTGCAAGTCAAAAATATACCAAACAAGAAACTAAACCATTCGGTGAGATAATTTCCGTAATGAATTTAATGCCGGGTATGTTAACGGCAATGAAGCGAGCTAATTTGTCCGGAAAAAATTCGCGAAAAAAATCGAGAAAAGTGCACAGGAGTAAAAGTGGTGCGCCAAAAATTGTTCATTCAAATATAACTTTTTTTTTTGAAAAAAATTGAAATTTAATCTTTCTGGAAACTTTATGGATTATTCTAATTATTTCTCATAATTCCAATTATTTCATGTTCTTATTTAATTGTTCTGATGATGTATTGAAAAATTGTATCCAAAGAAAAAAAGACTTGTAATTAATTTTATCATCATAAACCAAAATTTAGTAAATTAATTTCGCTTGATTGATCTGATGCAAGAAAAAAAAAAAACTTTTCTCTGATTATATGTATTGCTTATAATTGCATTTTAAAAAATAAGTGAGGATTCTTAGTTTGTATTTTAGCCTGAAATATAATTCTTAAAGTAAAGTAGATTAAAATATGGTAACTTTAGTTAAAATTTGCGACATCATTAAATTATTTATTCTTTATTAAAATTTTTAATGCTGAAAAAATTTTCTAAGAAACTTCAAAATTAGCTTTATAATTTCATCGAAATTTGTTATGTTATGATTAAGAAATTTTGAGGCAAATGAAGCAAAAGAAGTGAAAACTCTCTTCTAATATTCCAATGGTCGTATAAAATACAATGCTTTTTTGAAGTTTCAAATTGGAATTTATTCTTCCAATTTTTAAACAAAATATTGAGTAGCGTCTTGCGATTCATTTTAATTTTCCATTTCAGATGCATTCGTCAATAGCCAAGAATGGACATTATGTCGAGGTGTTGCTGAGCTCAAATTAGTTAGTTCCTTAATTTATTTTAATAAATTCTTTTTTTTTTTTTGCTGAAATTTCATTTGCAAGTTTTTTATTCATTCCTTTTTTGTTTGCTTTTTTTTTCTGTTTTGCTTTTGTGGAACATAGTGGAAATTGTAGCATTTCTTATTTTATCGAAATTATTTATTTACTTTCCGAAATTAATTTTTATTTCCATTTGATTATTTCATTTCTAAAATTTTTTTTTTTTTTTTGCATTTACCAATGGCAGCTGATTTTATATTGTCATGCATACTTATCGCTTTCACACGTACAATTTAAATTGTAAAATGAACGTTTAAAAATCTTTAAATGTTCTCCGTGCAAGGTGAGAAAAAGTGGAGGAGGTAACGGAGGGATGAAATGCTGATGTTAATTATAATTATTCAAATTTAGAATTTAAATATGTTATCTTTTAGTTCCAAATATTTGGCATTTGAGAAAGAAATATTGCTAATTGTTTTGTTGATTTTTGTTGAATTTTTCATCGCTCAGAAAATTTGTCCTTTCAATTAATTGAAATTCACCATAATTTTTTCTTTTTTTAAATAATTCGTTTGGCAATAACTTTCTCTTTTTCTGTCTTTCTGTTTTATTTTATTTTCTATTAGTATTTTCGGTAATTTGGAAAAATCAAATTAACCATTTACCGTTAATTTGGTCCTGTTTTCATCTTTCTTTTTTCCATTAATATTATAATGTACTTTTCCTTCTTTCCTTCTTTCTGAAAAATTTGAAACATTTGAATTTCCAAATTTTTAGCGGAAAAAGTGAAAATTAGACAATTCTAGCAAATGACATTATATCATAGGTTCTAATGATTTTTCTTTAAATAATTCTTTATAAATAAGAATAGAATGAGTGAATAAATAAATAGGTAAACAAATAAGTAAATGAATAAATAAATGAACAAATAAATAAATAAATGAATAAATAAAATAAACATTTACTCTATTGATTATTGTCATATTGTGGTATTATGTTAAATGATGGTGATAGTGAATAAGAGAGCTTACTCTTTGTTAAAAATGATTGCAGTAACGAGGGATTTGATTTATCACTTTATCACTAGAATTAATCACTTCACTGATCACGCATGCATTTATCGACTGATTCTTCTATTATGCTTGCATTAATCGATCGGATGGATCATCGATCATGTCTGCTTTGATTTATCGGATCATTAATTTTGATGATATTATGAATTAGAATTAATGAATGAAACAGGAAAAGATTTGAAGGAAAAAAATAAATAGTTCGATTTCTTTATACTTTTATTTACTATATAATTCGATTTATTTATTTGATAATAATTTGGTGTTTAGTAAATTAATTAGAATTGCAAATGTTTTGTATTTTGACACATTAAAATTATTGTTCAAATTTTAGCAGTAATTATGAATTAATAAAATATTCGAATTTATTCTTTCTCCTTTCATTGCTTCTTTGGTATCGTAAAATTTTATTAAGAATGTTGAACAAATTAAGGAAATTGGCGGGTAAATTTTACAGTGGGTTAGGTTGAGGTCATCGAAATGACGAGAAAACATCTGTCCTGTCTTCTCCTTCATCTGCTTCTAACTGCACGATCCTTGCATTACAATACGATTTTATGATATCGATTTATTCCAATTTATAAATTATTCATTTTCTTTATTTAAATATATATGTTTTTTTTTAAAGCAAAAAATATATTTTGTTATTATTATATTAATTGACTTAACAACTGTTGTTTTATTGTTGTTGTCAAACAATTACTAAGTATTGGTTTTGTTGTTTTATTGGTCAAATAAGATATTGTTGTTGTTGTTGTTGTTGTTGTTATTATTTATTGTCGTTTGTTGTTGTTACCTTCTTTTTGCTTTGTTTTTTTTTTTTGGCTATTTACAGTGTTTATTTGTTTTTTTTTATTGTTATCATTATTCAGTTCAAGTATTTTTATGATTAATTAACACATAATTTTTGTTAAATTAATGATAGCAAATTTAAAATAGATGTAAGTATATATGAGAATTGATATATCGAATAGCTACGCTATTGTTATATCTGTGTCAGTGACAGATTTTTCCACATCACTATCATATCAATATCATTACTGTCACATTTGTCATTTGCAATTCTTATAAGGCATTTAGTTATCACGTGGAGAGAATTAATTAACCAGTAAAAAAAGACAGAAATTTTACTTTATAGCTCAATTTTACGTATTATTAAATTGATGTAATAAATTGAAAATATTTCTTTCTCATCGATAATATCATTCAAATTCGAACAAATGTCCCATACAAAAAGTTTAAGAATTATAAAAATTCAAATTTGAAATTGAACTCAATAAATAAAAAAACTTTTCTTATACATAAATCAACAAAAAGTGGGAGGAATGTCACGTATATCTTCCATTTTAATGATTTACCTATTGAATAAATTCTGCAACTATAGAGGTCATCGTCATCATTGTCACCATCATCACTTCACTCATTTTAACTTATTAACATATTTATTTTCAAATACCTTCCACTTCATTCATCATCTCTGTTAATGAACTTTTCGGCACTGGGAACCCATTTCCTCTTATAATTTAAACTTTACTTGTTCTTGCTTGTAAACGTAAAAATAAATCAAAATTTAGATTGATAGATAAGTTTCAAAAAATGGTGCTTCAAATTTCAATTTTTCATTAAAAAAATAATTACTTTCTTAAAAAATGTTTGTAACTTGCACAAATTAATGGATGAGTTTCAAATTTCAATTTCATAGAAATAATTCCTTTAAAGAATGCTTATAACAAATGGCAGTTATTTTAATTTGTTCAATTATTTAAATATGAGTATAAATTTGACAAATAATTTAACTGCTAATTATTGGTTCATTGCACCAATATATACAATTTCCTAACATATATAGGATGTATTGTTACATTTTTGTTTAACTCACTAATCTGTTAAATTTATATAAAATTAAAAAATATTGTTTAAATATTTGATATCTTTGCAAAAATAAAAATGGAAAATTTTTGTCATAATGGAAAACATATAAAAATTCCATTCTTTTTTTCCCAAGAAAAAACTGATAATTATTTAGCATTGATGTTATTATATTCCCGATAGATATTTTTTTGGTTGGTATTTATTGCATTGACCTTGGCAAGATTGTTTTTGTAATTCGAATTTGATGTATACCACAAACAGGAAAAGGTTATTTTGGGAACAGTTGGTTGAAACCGTATTATTACTATTCAAAAAAAAAGAAAAAATGTTTCTCATATTTAGAAATTTTTCTCTTGTTTATTTATTATCAAAAAAAGAATCAATTTTTTCTTATTTATATTTTAATCAATTAAAAAAATGCACTTAGTTAAGATATTGTAATCATAATTAATATGTCGTCATTAGAATTCATTAAGTTAGTGGTTCAGTTATTGTAAATGATAATATATGTTGGGGAAATATTTTTATTTTTTCAAAAAATAGAAATTATTTTGAATTAAATTTTTTCTCGTGTGAACAATTTATTTGATATTCGGTTAATCAAATGATAATTCCTCTTTAATGAAACAAAAATTTGTGTAAACGTCTTTTTTTTTTCTGTCCTCACTGAAGAAATACTTATCTTGATGTGCCATATTGAAAATGTTGAATTTTCCGAAGACAAAAATTCGGAATCGTGAAAGAAGCTGTTAGTCCAATATATGATTGTATACAACTTCAAAATTGTATTGATCCAATGGAAAAATAATTGTTTTGAATATGAAAACAAACAACAATAGGATAAGATATAAATTAGCTATCACTTGAGTAAGGAGGAGGAGAAAGAAATATGAAAATTGAAATCTGGGTCAAAGGTTGCTTGTTTGTCATTTTCTTCTATCGTTAGTTGAACAAAAGTTACTTTCCATTAGAATTACTGGAATGAATCATTTATATTTCTCTCATTTCGTAGTTTACATTTTATTTAAATGATAACTTTTTTTTTTCATGTTTAAAATTCATCATTTTACTTTCATTATTATCATTGTTTTTAAATGTTATCATTATGTTTTTTTTTTTTTCATTTTTTGTTTTTTTCCCCATTCGAGCATATTGTTATTGGGTGAAAATTAATGTAAATAATATTATTAATATTTATTTCTCC